AAAAATGAGACGGCAGATCTGCGCTCCCCTCGCACACACGCGTGTCCAATCAGAGAGAAAAAGAACTCCCTGCGTAAACGTGAACGTGCGTACATATATATCGCGTGTAGCTACGGTTGACAATAAGTCCTGCTGCCACACGTGCATGACTCACATACTCACGTGTGTACGCGTAAATACACGGCTGCGCGCGCTATAATATGTATATGAGTGTGTATATGATATTAACTGTGCCGTGCCTCGAGTTAATGCTAGTCACTTAGTCATTGTCGCACTTGCCACGCGCGCAGCATACCCGAAATCTTTTCTCGGATCTCACTTAACGCGCTCCGGGATGTATTTATATATATTAAACTGGCCGAGCGATGCTAACGCATTGCTTCTTCTTTTCTTTTTTTTCTTATTCTTCGTCATCATTATTATTACGCGTAATCGGGCCAAAGGGCAAGATAAAAGACTCTCATGGCCGATTGATTCTCTTTTCTTCTCCCTTTCGTATGCGCGTATACACGCATTGCTGCTGCTGTATGATATATATCTTTTTTCTTTCATCCCTTTGCGTTTGAGCACGAGGTAGAACAAGCACTGTATCTAAAGACTGCTATGTGTACGCTTGTCCGAGCTGTCTAAACGAGATGGACGCTTATGCAATTACGCAATCTGAAAATACCGTACGCTACACATACATGGCCGAGAAAACAAGCGATCGAGGGAAAAAAAGACTTGGCTTCGGTCAAGTGGAAGGTATAATATTTGTTGGGGGCTATACATGTATAGCATGCATATGCTCGATGCGCATCTATGTGCTTCCTTACCAAGGGATATTCTCGGAGAAGAACTTTTTTTCCCCGATGGATGCACCCTATACGTACGATATGGCCTGGCTGAGATTTATCTCACTGAGAAAGTGCGGCTAACATGGAGCCGCCCCGCGCACTACGTTTCTATACTCTTTCACTCGCTCAGCGCGCACCGCGAGGAAGTAGAAAACGAAGCAAATCCCGGCCAATATTTGCCGAAAGAGGCGAGCACCCTCTCTTGCGCTCGCACGAATGATTCCTACACCGTACACCGACCTGCACATGTGTGTGCGGAGAATTCGTGAAAGGGTTGCTTCGCTTGCGTCTTCTTCTATTTTCGTCTTTTTTCGCTCTTTCTTCTCTTTATTCTTAGATCTCCTGGCAGAAGTTTGAATAGAAACACGCAGAAAGTTAGGTTTGCGAAAGGGCGCGCGCCTGTATACTAGTTTGCTTTGTGATGTTTTTCTTTTGTTCAAAGTCTACATATTGAGAGAAGTTGTGCGCTTCTATTTGGACTTGTTGTAAAAATTTGATGCTCGCAGGCGTCGCCATTAGCCGCCAATGTTGCTGCCACTGCTGTCCCGTTATATGATTTAGCTTTTGTGTACACGCCATTATATTGGAAAAGTACACTTTGGCTAGAACAATTGTGTTTACCTTTTTCCCTTCGGGATATTCACGAATTTTTCTGATCTACGACACTTTTTATCCTCGGGTCAAAGTGGACGAGAAACTTCGCCTTTGCTTGTCTATTTGACGTCGCAGATGTATATTGTAATCTTGCAGGCGCGACTTATGCCTAGCATATTTTGGTGATTGTATCTTCTTCATGCTCATGGCACCCATGGGAATGTTAAATATTGAAAAATTATGCAACATTTCGTCGTAGACATATGATTTTAACTTATTATTTATCACTGCAAGTTGTATCCCACGAATGGTTCCACATATTTTCCTAGAACTATTAGCGTATGAATAGAGGCTTCAAAACAATTCTTTATGACTTATTACAAATATCGGTAATTTTTTTTCGAAACAATTATTAAAATAAAGAAAAATGAAACATGTTATCATTTTCCTACTTTTATATCTTTAAATTTAGTCTTAGCACCACACATGGATGACAAATATATTCCACAGTATTTTTTGATAGAAAATGGTTTATTAAGTAAAAATATTTATTTGCGGAAAAAAACTTGGATAATCATACTCTTTAGTTTTGAGTTTCTGCGGAAACCTCTTACATATTCATCACATAAAATTGAAAATAAATCTGACATATTTAATTTGAAAAGAGTCTATCACGCTTGGATATTTCTATTTTTCTGACTTCCTGCAGAGAGCTGCTAAACTACAATAAGACGGGTCTTAGTGCAGCGGGTGATTTTCTGCGGTTAGTAATAAGCTACATTGTACGTAGTTATTGTTTGTTTGAACTTTAAATCCATCTTTTTTCTAAAAAAAATTTCACAGAAAACCTCAACTCTTCAGGAAGACGTTTGAATCCATCCAGTACGTCAAGAATACTTTATTTTTAAAATTTGAGTCGTATAAAATTTTTTATAGCAGCGAACAAAATGAAATACTGTGAAAGAATATCTGTTCATGTTATAATCCTTCGACTCTTGGATTATTTTCCAAAAAAATACAATCAGAATATAATAAATTGTAAAAGCCATTTTTTTCATTTTCATCAGTTTTATCAAAATTTGAAGTTTGTGCTGCAAAATAAAGATAAACGATAAAAATGCCGCTTTCAAATACTATTGAATCATTCGAATCAATATTTTTTCGGAGATCAAAATAATTGAAAACGACCATTATGCATGCCAAACACAACAAAAAAGAAACTAAGCTTAAATTAAGATGTCATTGAAAGAGCTATTGTCTGTTTAAATTATAAGGATCTGCCATTTTTTATCCTTTTCGTTGTAGCTAGGTAAGGTTCACAGAAAAAATTTATTATAGTCAATTTTAATGTAACTTTTAGTAATTAATCGTACACTTTTAAATAAATTATATTTCTTTTATAAATCCAACAATAAATTTGGTTTGCACCTAATTTTAAGCTGATATTTGAATTAATATTCAAACTCACAATTGCATAGGACTATTCAAAATGACGAGATTATGGTCAAACACCTCGATGAATTTTATTTATCTGACAGTTTAAGCCGAAAGGTGAGTAAGACTCTCTAAATGTAGATCAATAAAACACTGGTTTGACTTTTTGAAATTTATCGGTTACGCTGTTGCATGCACTTTCGAGCTTTGTATGCAAATTTCAAACTTGTAAAGAACAGTATTTTGTGAAAAAGTTGGTCATTTGAAATTTTACGAAGGCTATCAACAACATTTTTGTACTTTGAAACAATATCATAATTCACAATAATGCTACCCACTTTAAGTATCTCATAAATGTAATACGAATATGAGGAAAAAACAAGGTTTTCTGTTGTATTAAAATTTGCATTCGATCGTACAAATTTATGACACACTTTTAAGTTATTGAATTATGGTAAATATACCATTACGCTGATAAAACTTGAGCCTGAGTAACCGATTCTCGTATCGTGTCTTCGCGTTCGGCCAAAAAATTATTGTATACTGTATTTTGATGTCGAGGAATGCTTTTAAGAGAGGCGTTCATTACCATTATTCTAAGCATAATATTTATAGTGATGCTATATATTTAAGCTCTATCCTTTAGTAGTTTGACCTTTTGCTGAATGGTTGTTATAAGATTCTCAAGTCATTCATGTTCTTAGTTTATTAAATTATAGAGTAACAATGGCCGTTATAATTATAAAAGTTCCATGCATAATATACTAATTTAAGATTGAATTGGTTTTCGGAGAAAAAAATTATTAGTTAGTTTGTTAATGGAGCCTTGACGACAACCGGTCCTAAGGCTCGTCTCGAAAGCGAGTCAGACAGAAGAGGAAATGTTTGATGAGCGAATAGCGCCCGAAGAGTGTGTGTATGAGATAAGAACACTTAAAAAGATAAGCTGGAGTTTATATAGACGAACGGGATGAGGCGGCTCGAGAAGGCGGCTAATAAAGTTCGTTTTATAGTATATAGACCTTATTGATGTGCTCGAGAGCAATACTCTGGCACATAATGTCTGGCCATTAATACAGAAACAGCTGGTGATAACGAGCTGACATTTGTGCTGCCTGTGTGCTTCGGGTCGATGCCTCGACACGGCGGCCTATCTTCCCTGAGCGATTACAATTATTACGTGATTTTTTGCATGCCAGACTAATTATTTGCTTGAGCGCGTTGAGATTTTTCTCTCCTGAGTCTTCAAGGATTTTAACTTATTGTCAGTTTTATGTAAACCGTACTCGTAGTTGTTTCCATCAAAACTGGATAAAAGCGCTACGGGCAGTTGAAATTAAAATAAAAATTTTTTTCGCTCAGATCATCTTAGAAGAAGTACATCGTTACATTTTATACACAGACTAATTCGTTTCCGTTCCGTGTGTAATCACCTTTTTTGTCAAAGGAATTAATCCTTTTGGACGAGAACTTTCGAACTTTTCTTCCTGTATGATCCTCTTTTGAAAAAAAATGTAATCTGCTAGAGGATTTTTTTATAATTCCGTTACTGGTTTCCAACGAAAGTTCAAGCAAAAGTGGAAACGAAAAAGTTTATAAAACTTGCGGATTCAATTACTGAAAAACTTAATTAGCCTTTGGTATTTTAATATCAAGTTCTAATAAAAGCATAAATATGTAAAATATTAATTGCAGTATTATTTTTTGATGCACGAAAAGTAATATAAGTCATGACAATGACTTTTTATATATTGTTTTTTATTATATATTTTTAAATCCAAATTTGTTGTATAGCTTGTAGCTGATTTCTCTCGTAAATTGTCGTACGATTTTCTGTATTCAGATCAAATTCAATTGAAAATGCTAATAAAACTTTTTTTTTTAAGGAAAAATTGATAATTTTGCAATGATTTATTATACTTATTTGGATGATTCTTTTACAACCATAGTTTTTTTACAATTAATCATTATACCTAGCCATAACAAACGATTCTAACACACTTCATAAATTTTTCATTCATCAGTCTCAAATTTAAAATCTTGCAACACAAGTCATAATACTTACGTATCAACAAATAGAACTTAACTAACTTGAAAATATACAATAATTACAAAATAGTTAATGTGTTACTGGAAAAATATGCTACGAGTTACAATGCCGATTTTACAGAAGTAATCGCAAAACTTCAAGTTTCGTTATCAGCGTCGCTCTGATTGAGTGGTGAGTCAGTCACCGGTTCAGGCGGCCACTTGCCGGCGGTTTGCGGTGGTTCCACCGGCGGATCTGTGATGAAGATGTGCTCCAATGGTTCGGCCGTTATCTCGGTGGTTGAAATCGGTGCAGCAGTCGTCTCATTATTGACACTGTTTGTCTCAATTGATGTTGTTGTTGTTGTTGTCGTCATCGTCGTCGTCTCGTCCAATAACGGAATCACTGGCTTAGGTGGCATGAGATCCATTGCCGGAATCTCGGTTTCTTTTTCACACTGACGGCCGTAAAAGCCAAGAGGACATAAGCATCTGCAGGATAGAGTGAATAATTAGATTGTTATTGACGTTATTAATGTATTTAAATCTGTCGATTATCGTTAAACTTTGACGATCGTATAATATGAAACTTCTTGAGCAATCGACAAGCTGAAATATACTTTTATCCCGATATTACTGTTAGATTGATGGATGTTAAAACTGATCAGAGATCGACGAAACGGATATTACAAGTAATCTAATTTTATAACTCAGCTTATGCTCGATTGATCACGTTGAAGAAGTTACTTCAGTACAGTTGAGCTGTAATTTTTTTTCTCAAAATTTTTCTAGTTTGAATTAACTCATTCATTAGATTTTAATGAACTTCGGGGTCTATTGTGAAGAGAATAATTTTTTTATGCGGAAACTGTATTGTTTTTGGGTTGAAAACTACAACAAAATCATGAATGATTTTAAACTGATAAAGCGGAAGACAGCCGAACGAAAAACATTATCCTACGGGTCGCGGATTAGTAGACTGCGGATGACAGACGTGATCGAGCGGGGTCACCAACCTGTAATTGCCGAATTCGGGCGTCACACTGACGCAAGTGGCATTATTGCGGCAAGTGTCCGGATGATCGTCGCAGTAGGTGAGCTTGACTTCGCAGAGGTCGCCGGTCCAGCCCGCGTCGCAGCGGCACTCCCAGGGCTTCCTGCAGCTGCCGTGCTGACAGCCCGGATACGGCACGCACTCGGTGCAATTTGGTCCGGTGTAGCCGACTCGACAGCGACAGGTATTTGGCCGCCGACAGCCGCCGTGCTCGCGACTGCAGCCAGCCGAGCAAATAGCTGCGAATGACATACGGACACAATTTCAACGTTAACAGCTATATAATGGAGTAATTACATTTTTTCTCTACAGATTCCAGCTGTAAAACGTGTAATTTGATATGTTTATTCGGGTACACTAGATTGACGCTGTTTCTTTGATTAGAGTGAACGGGTTATTCGTGACACAGAACATAATAAATATTTCATAGGGAAATGAACTCGATTTCTTGCGGTGTTTTCCTGCATGCTAAATTTAATGCACTGTAGATCAATCTTTTGTCTCGCTTTTGTCAACGTCAACTAAAATTTTCATTGTGAACAGATAATCAATTTACCTACTAAAAAAATTGCATTTTCTGCCTTCACATTTCAGCCTCGATACAGATGAAAAAGTTACAAACTTGATGCAAAGATTTACGTAGTATTAATAAATTGAACACACATTTTCATTTTTTTGCTAAACAAAATTTTCGCAGTCATTGAATCGAATAAGTATATAAAAAATGTATTAGCAATTGTTTTTTGGAATATAATTAAAATTCGAAATTGTTGACTTAAATTTTTTAATATCTTAAATAATAGCATTTAATTTTAAATTAATTAAAGGCTTCTAACCCAGCTGAATAGGATTCTTAGATTAAAATAAATTGAGAATTGTAATTCTTCTTCGCTTCACTTGAGTATCAAAATTCCTCACAATGCGATTGTGACGCCGATGAAAGTGGCCAATATGAGCTATTACGAAAGAGGATGAGGAGGTACGCTCGATTGAGCGCAAAAGAATAGCGGATGCGATGACAGAAGGCAGCTCTTTGAAGAATATAAAACAGAGAACTTGATAGTTACGCATAAAAGGGTGATTATACTCAAAAGAAGTGCAATCGAGCGAAATACGGGTTGAATTTTTGTCATACCGACCGAGAGATGTCTTTTTATTGTGATTCAGATTTATAATCGTAATCCTTGTTTTTTAATTGGAAAACGACATGAATATTCGTATATTGTTTGACTAATTTTTGGTTACGAGAAAAACTGCATGATAAGAGTGTAGTGACTAATGAAAAGCTTCAAGTTACATCTAGCATATGGAAAAAATCGAAAAAGTCACTCAGCCTAGTTGATTTTATTTCTAGTTACAGGTTCTAGATTATGAAGTGCGTTTATGCGCGTGTGTGTCAGCTGTGCAGTAAAATGTGTAATTATTTCTGCCGCTTGCACTTTATCTGATATAATTAATTGATGCGTTACGTACTCTCTCGCGTGAGAAAGCAATACGAGATCTAAGACATTTTATCACGCTCATATTCGCTCGACGAAGAGAGAGAGAGAGAGAGACAGAGAGGGAGAGAGAGAGAGATTAATCAAAAGATCTACTGTTTTTGATAAAGTAACGCGATACAATAGCTTTAGCAGCGCAGTAATCATCTTTCCGAGACCGGAGCACATTTGGCGCGTTCCGAGAAAGATTTTGCAGCTCTCGTATGCGTTAGGCATACCTATATAAGCAGCAGATATTCGCCCTGCGTAAACAGACGAGAAAGAGAGAGAGACGCGATACGAAAAAAAGAGAGATAAAAATCAAGCACGTTCGAGGACAGCGTATATATAGCGATCGAACCGCTCTGGGATATATACGTAAGCGCAGCGATGATGGGTGACGTGTTGCTGCTGCTCGAATAAAAATCGCTCGATCCTTTTTTTTTCAACGAGCTTCCATGCATTTACGCGCTCGTATAATTTATCCATGCAAATGTACTCGCTCCGTGTCAGCGAGTATCAACGTATACCGCGCATGTGTTCCGAGCGCGCGTAATAACAATAACTAGGGTTTTATGTAACAACGTTTATATCCCTTTTTCACAAAGTTCATTTCCGTGCAAGCTCTTATGCAAAGCTTTAAAAGCCGAGCTTGCGCGCACCCGAGTGGCTGTGTTGGCTGCCGATGTTTTTCGATAATGCGCGCGGTTCGTAATATACTCACGCGTCGAGCACAAAAATCCAGTCCATCCAGGATCGCAGCGGCACTCGAGCGGTCCTTGGCAGCTACCGTGCACGCAGCCCGGCAGCACCGAGCACTGTTTGCACATCGCGCCTTGCCATCCAAGTCGACACCTTCGGCCAAGAGAAAACAAAAATGAGCGTCGAAAATCAGTGCTTTTTTCGCTGCGTACGCGAGCAGTGCGCGTTACGAACATTAATCATTGCAAAACATTTCTCGCTGGCGCGTAGGGCGCAGCGAATACAGACTGTATTTGTACGTACAGATCAAAGGGATGCGATAATTACGAGGACGCGAGCTGCGTCGGAGCTCTCGACTCACCTGCATTCGCCGGGCTTTTCACAATAGCCCTGGCTCGGGTTGCAATCGGAGTGACAGACCGGCTCGTTGCAGAACAAGCCCTTCCAGCCGGGATCGCAGGCGCACTCGAAGCTCACGTTACACCTGCAAACGAGCGTTGCCATATTTATATATAATACAATATTTTCCACTACCTGACGTGCGAGTTCGTGCGAGTTCGGAGCCGATAATATAGCTCTCGAAACTGCCCGTGCATATGTATACCGTCGTGCAGTGCCAGAAAAAAATGAATCAATCATCGTTACACGAGCAGGCCGTATTATAGCTATAATATGAGAGTAGCGGCCGCGTGCTTGAATTTACGTATAGCAGTTTTTGCCACATGTTCCGCGATCGCTACCAAGTCACGAAACTCATCCGCGCTCGGCTCAAAGTCACGTTATATATTCCCTCGCCAAGGGTCATTTACATGATCTTATTATTGTTCCTACTGCACATTGTGTGTGTGTATGTATTTCTAGCTGTTACATTTTTTCCGTTTCGCGAAGCTATCCACGCGTACACTGCGCTCGCCGCAGTGATCCTGTCCCGTTACTCCTAGCTGGATTATTCAGACTGCATCAGCTATTATTTATTGCTGAACAAGGAGCGCGTGACGACGCTGCAACAGTACTACCATATACATATCTAAACGCGATTATGATTGCCGCATGCCGTTGCCGCCATCGCTGCCACTGCTGCTGTTGTTGTTAGGCGGTCTCTGTGTCGAGTGCTCTGCGGTGTCGGAAGCTGTTCCAAGTGTATCGCCACCAAACGCCACGCTGTATAAGCGATATATCGCATGCATCATCGTCGCGCAACTTGGCTCGATTCGACGATCCACGAGTGCGCTTTGAGCCAAGTGCACTAATTTTTCCCTCAAGCGAACTGTAATAATGTTCCTATCTCGATTACACGCAGATTTTTACATCATCTCTCGATTTTTTTCCTCCTCGAAATTGCAGCGTATACCTTTTTGAAGACGCGTAATCCATCTGCATTGTCAATTTATTCCGGCACACTTGGAGCGCTAAACTACTTTTGAAAATATATATCGACTCTGCGCGACCAGCGTGCAATGAAAAATCGGAAACTCTGTCGCGAGCGTCGTTCATCGATGTATGCAAAGTTGATGGGAAAAAATGCAAAAGCATCGAAATCGCTTGCCCTATATATATCTATACATCGGTACATCCTATATATTTATGCAATGTGCATGCACCGAGCGTACATAATGCAAAGCAGCTCTCTCGACCGAGTACGGCAATTTTTGAATCGATAAAGCATTAAAAGTCCACTTTAACTTGCGAGTACATAAGGAGAATAAAGAAATAGATGATGCACCACTGCTGTCCAGTGCTCTCTACGCGTCGAGGACGAAAAATTTGCTCGCGAGCTCACCGATGTACGACGATGAGGTTTTTACACTCGGTTAACGCGATCGTGACATTTATATACGTTTAAGCAAACAACTGAATCACTCGCTCACAATACACAGATACATTAAACGTGTATATACGAAGTTTGGAGGCGCGAGAAAGTTTTCTAGCTTTACTTGGCGGGTAATTTATATTTAGCAACGGCAGCTACTTTATCACGCCTATATTTTCTTTGCGGTGACTATAACTTTCTAGCTTTATAACAACAATAATCGCGCGCGAACGAGCTGCAAAAGTATGAAGATGCTGTAAAAACTTAGCCAGCTATATAGCCAAGCGAGCAAGAGAGAGAGAGAGAGAGAGAGAGACGACCCTCTATGCGACTAAAACTCGTTTTCACGATCTTGCTGCAGTGCTCATGAGCAGGCGCGCTCTATACACACTACTGCAACGCCTGCACCGAACACGTATATATGTACACTGTGCTCTGCTCTGGCTGTATGTCTGTGTGTGTGAGTGTGTATTGTAGAAAGAGATTAATGAAGTCTGTGAATGTTTTTTGCCTTTGAAGAGGAATCGAAAAATACCTGCCATGCTGACAGCCGGGTAGAGCGACGCATTTGTCGCATAAGTCGCCGTAGAAGCCGAGTTTGCAGCGACATTCGCCGGGTCTGCGACAGTAGCCTTGAAGAGGGTCGCAGCCTTTGCGACAAATTGGCACGTCACACAGGTCGCCCGTCCAGCCTTGTTGTGTCCAAGAGCAACGGAGAGAAAGACAGTAATTCAATATATGAGATTTCACGTCGGAGAAAATAATATACTAATTGATTGCCGTGGCAGCGTATAAAACGTTCGTAGCTATAATAAGCGCCAAATTACATGTACGCGTGTTGAGCGCCAATCAAAAAGTATACAGTATACATTCGCGTGTGCAGTTGGCACTCGCGCGACAGTCTTAATTACCTGGTATACACTTGAGTTCGCCGGCTTCGTCGCAGACGTAGTGCGAATTCGGATGCTGCGTCGCTGGTACCTCGCACGCCTGCTTCTTCCATTTCGGTACGTACCTATAAAAGCCAAGTTTAAGGAGGGCGAGTTAAAAAAATCTTCCAAGCAACATGTATCGACCGATGCTTAATTAATGGACTTGTACAGAGGTTGGCCTGCGCTCGTTGCACGAGCCGAGCGCTGCGCTTTGTACCGGGCAATTGCGTTTTTTGCCCTCGCTCGCGCAACTACGCTCAGCATCGCCGGCTGCTCGGCACTCGGACGACGGATAATAATATTACGAGACTCGAGGATCGTACGGATCGTTTTTTATAACCAACAAATCAAAAGTAAAACCCACAGGACGTCAAATTTTATCTTTTCCCTTGCGAGTCGTCATTCTCGACATTTCATCGTGAGTAGCCGCGCGCGCTCGAATCGAATTCAAAGTCGTGCGCGTCTGTGCGATCCGGCTGCATTATGTGCGTGTGTTGGCGTTTTCGGCGCTTTCATTATACCTGCTCCAGTGTGCGTGCATACGCCACACGTACCTTCTTATATTCCTCTTCTCCTTCTTCCTCTACGTCTGGCCGTTTGCGAGTATAAAGTGCGTTTTTTGGCGGGAGACACGGCCCCTCCGGACAAAACCGGTCCTACTGTCCGATCCTTGGGCTGCTGCGGCTGCGGCTCTTGCCGCAGCATAATACATTTAAACACGCACTCGATCACGCACGCATACGTACACGACTCGAGCCCGAGAGTTGCGTATTCGCGCGTATCGTACGTGCCTCGCAGATATCTCGTGAAATTGAAAAACCGCGTAGGTTTCTCTCGCTGCATTACGCGAGGTCCGCGTGCGACAAACGCCTGTGATTTCGTCGACTTTCCTGGACGATCGACGCATCTTACTATCGAATTACGAGCTGGTCCCCAAAAATGAGCGATGCCAGACTTATGGCGTTAACCGTTGTCGTGATTAAATTCATATGTAAACGTATACGGTCGCGATCCACGGGGATTAATGGCCAAATTGCAAGGTGTCTCGGCTGCGAGCTCGTTGACGAAAATTCGAGGATACCTCGTTAAAACTGCGACTCGTGCAGTGCAGACGACTCGTGTCAAGACGTCTCACGATACATTATATACCCAAGCAATATTCGCTGTGAAGCGTTAACCGATCCTTTTGGTATACTTTTCGATATTAACGCCATCCCACGTTTGCGAATCGTCATCGTTAACGTACGCTTCGATTATATAGCTCCGATGAATAATGAGAGTGATTCGTTGTTTACTCAGACATGCCATTAAAAGAATACCGAAGGACCTCTTCTTACGTACTTTATCAAGCGGCTGCGAGTAAGCGATGAGTCTCGCGAAGGAAATAAAAACAACAACAAGTGGATTCAACGCGCATACAAATGTGGAGCGCGTTAAAAAAGACGCGGATGTCGATTCACGAGCTCACGAGCTAAAAGCCACCGATAATGTGTATACTATGTGCAAGCGCGTACTTGACTAAATGAGAGGTCGGGAGCTGCGCGCGGGAACCGCAAAAACAGCTCGGCAGCCTTTTCCTATTTAGCCTTCACCTTGACTCTGCGCGAGCTGCACCGTACTACGCCATGCTGTATTGAGCAATGTATAGATATACGTTATACACTCGAAGTACTCGTTCGCGCGACTCGCTTTATAGAACTCTCGCGAGCACGAAAGAGAGAAAGAGAGAGAGAGAGCAGCGCAGGGTCAAGGGACTCGGCTAACCTTTTTCTGGCGCAACTCCGCAACGACTAAAAAAGCAATTTACAAACAAACGTACGACAACGACGACGACAAATACGGTCCTTTTAAACAACTGTCACGGCATACCGAGGAAAAGAAGAGAAAAGAAGATGCGCTATACGTTATGGAAAAGTCACGTTGCTACGTATACACAAGGATGAGGGTAATTATTCGGACGTACCTGTTGGGCGCGAGAGCCGAGACCCCTCGGGGCAGTAGATGGAGTTGAGAGGCGATGAGCAGAGCGAGGAGCAGCCGTCGAGGATGCGGTTGCTGCTGGAGTCGCTGCGGCACCACGAGGATGCTGGCGAGCATGACGCCTGTTCTTGGCTTACGACGGAGAGAGAGAGAGGGACGGCTTTCCTAGTTTACGTTGCTGCCAAGTATCGTAGCTAACAACAACACTGATCCGCTGGACTGGCAGCGACCAAGTGGCGCGCGTGTGTGTATACCTACATACGCTCTCGCGAAGCTTCTCTCCGTCTCTTTCTCTCTCTCTCTCTCTCTCTCTCTCTCTCTGTCTTTCTCTCGTTCTCGGTTGGCTCGGAGTTGCCTCTAACGGGATCCGCGGCTCGCTTTCGAGGTCACGGCATACTTACTCCTCCCCGCGAACAGCTAGCGCACGTAGTAACGCTGTACAGTGTTGGCGAGCGCCCCAGCTAGCCTCAACCTAGCGAGTATTTATGTACGACGGAGCTCGAGTATAGACGAATATCGACGTGCGCGACTATAATGCATTTTTGCTCTCGAGCTCTCTCCTCGCGCACTCGCGAGCATTTCGCAGAAACCTAAGCTTTTTATTCGCCTTGGCCATGGATCGGCCAAGGTTCAACGATCCCGCGTGTATTAACAGGGACTGCTCTCGATGGATTTTGGTAGATACGGGTGCGAAAGCGTCATCGTTATCGGCTGCGACGACGATCTGCCACTCGAGGATGTATACGAACTGCGAGATTCGTCGGTCGGCAGCTCGAGCATGTGCGAGTCGCGATCTTTCTCAGCTCGACAAGAGTATATATAAGCAGCAGCAACAGCGACGCTCGTAACGCCTGACAAAAAAGTCAAGGTGCGAGGAAGAAGAAGAAGCAGTAGCAGCATCGGCATCGTGATGCGCATCGTTTAAATACAAGTCGCGCCCAAACTTCCAACGCACTCATGTTTATGTATACGTATATATGTAATTCTCAGCTCTTCTCTCTCTTTCCCTCGCTTGATGCAACCCGGCTGCTTTTTTTCTCCCTTTTGTGCATACTGCATCGGCACCTCGGCCGCCTGCATACATATACACGCATCGAGGCGCTCGCGACGACAAGTACTACGCGCGTGGCTTGTCGTCGTCTTTGCTTTGAACCGGAGGGCGATAATGGAGAGTGCATGCTCTTCTCGAATGACACGTATACTCGCGTACACACAGACTCGGCTGCTCGCATACATCGCTGCATCGCAGTGCGCGTATCTGCACCGAAGGACCATTTTACTCGCAGTGCTTATTCTCCACCTCCTCCTCCTCCTCCGGCTCTCGTCTCGGGGGGCTAATCCTGAGTCACCGAGCCCCTGTACTTCCTCGGCTCTTTCGTCGCATTTTATACTCGCGATTCGAGCTCGTCGCAGCGAGGCCAATGAGAGATTCGAACGAATCACGGCCTGCGAACACTCGCCAGCTTGTACACTATACTCGGAGTGCAGCTGTGCAGGGGTATGTGCAAGTCAACGCACGTACGTTCGCTGAATAGCAATTGGCATTCGGCTTGGGCCGCGCCATAGGCTGAACTTGACTATTATGAATGCGCATAATTATTGCGCGTGCCTCGAGCACACATGCATCCATCCAGCTGCGATGGCCGAGGCATCATGACGCACCGAGCAACGGCGAATCACGATGATCGCGATCTGCACACGATGCGCAGCATCGCGAACGGCTGCGGAATAATCGCCGATTACCTTCTTATACGCTCATTGCCCTCGAACAACATAATGATATAATATAATCGTGCGCGTAATCGCATTATGTCACAGGGGCGCGCGCGTTCCTGTAATTTCGCTCGGCTCAAAATTCTTCCGAGGATTATTATATCTATATATGGATAGGCCGAGGCGCGAGGAAAAGAGCGCGTACAGAGTTTTGCATGGCACAGATATAGCTACTGAAGTTGCGCGCGCACTCGCGTCCGGCCGAAGACTCATTCGCTCGATGTGCACATTCGACGCTGTTTTGTTGGCACTCGATCCATCTCCGGTGCATATATTGGCTGCTAACTGCGCTTCATTTTATGCACGTAACTACGCTCGAGAGTGTAGTCGCTATGCATGGCAAGCGAAACTCTGGCTACTATTTTCCGCGCTCGCATTTATAGGGCGTTATTGGTTGGATTATGTGGTTGTTGCTCGAGTTGTGAATAACCATTTGTCTAGTGCGTATATAGCGACGCGTGTGTGCGTTTGTGTTTGTATACGCGGACGAGTTACTTTATCACCTAAGTACACATGCATGTAGCAGCTTATCGCCCGTAGCGCGCAGATCCTCTTATGTATTTATACGCGGGCGCGTATGCAGATATGTACGAAATTTAAAGACCCGCTGATTTATGACGCGTAATATAATCAAGTGTAAGTAGCTTGTGACGAGCTGCGCGTCTTTTCTTTTCAGCTTTTTTTTAGCTCCTTTCAATTTTATCGAGTATTTAGTTCGCCAGAGCCTGAGATTTTTAACGGATCGCAGCCCTGGAAACTGTTCGCACTCGATGCAATTGTAAAAGCTCCATTGCCTGCCGTCAAGCCGCACTTGTATAGCCCGGGGGAAGTTGCAGCAGCGCTAAATACCGAGAGACGTGGCCAATCGCTACCTCGCTCGTGCAGCTGTCACGACCACGACGAGATTTTTTGCAAAATTTAATGCAACTAATCTACCGAGATATCGGGCATTGGCGCGCGCGGAGCCTCGTCAAGGCACTTTTATCGCTTCCTGGTGTACGCTAGTAATATCTTTAATGTCGACTTTTGTATATACTATAAACGCGAGGACACATGGATGGATCCTACACTTGTGATCAGATTTTTCTTGGCCGACATCGTCCATTATAATGATTTGATATGAAAATATATTTAGCTTGATTCTATGCAAATTGAGCGGGTAAATAACAGTAAAGGTCGAGAGATTTGGTTTTACCGAGCTTTGATGCAACATACATCAAGTATTTCAAATTCAATACAAGTTATGCCATCCTACTAATAGATTACACAGCGAGATCTGCATTACCACAAGTATATGAATGTATGAAAACTTCGTCACTAAAGAGAGTAAAATATATATAAGTCAAAAAGACTCGTATAGCATCGCTATGAATGTATTTATGCTGCATAGTGTAGGTTGCGCTGGACGAATTTCCCGTTGCTGCATCGAGTCTAAAACCGCAATCATCTCGCCAGTGCCGCCACTCGTTTGGAAACTAGCGTCATGATCATCTAGATGCTGGCTCGCTTTTTCTCTCTTGTATAGCCTCTCTTCACCATCTATGCATTATATCTATCGCCATTGTTGTCTTCGGCCTTAAATCTATGCAGCTCGCCTCGAAGAATCGAGAAAAAAAAGTAGAGGAGCTTTAAATTGACTGCAGATAGCTATATATTTATCTAATAAGCCTCATCGCGTATATGATTGTTATTTTTAAACGAGGCAAACGTTCGATTCAGTACATACACGATGTTACGGAATGATAGGGTTTATGGGAAAGAGTCGAAAAGTTGTAGTTTTGCGGCCTCCTATACAGCTATACAATTACTTATAAATGCAAATGGCAATCTTCCTCAGAAAAATACAGAACCTTTTTCTTTCTTTCTCTCTCTTGAGCGCGCTCCTCTCTATGATATACATATGGGTAAAGTGCAGACGCGTAGCGGTCTAGAAGCGCCTCGGGGATTACGAGCTACGCTTCTACCATGGCTGTGTTGCAGGCTGCGCGCGTGTAGGTGAAAGAAGAGAGGAAGCAGCAACTGTACACACACACACACACACTCACACATACACACGTGTACTGTGCATCATGCGGATATACATAGACGTAATACATGTAACAAGCCGTGTGATTGACGCTAATGCGATCGGGCAATTACTCGTGCGACGCTGCTGCGCTTATACGTACGGCCGCATAGCTGCTGCAGTTGACGGCCGCTACGATCAGTGAGAGAGAGAGAGAGAGAGAATGTATGGATGTGTGGCGTACGTGTGCGGATGCTGCTGCGAGATCGCGCGTCAAAAGTCCAAGCGCGTCCGGCCTGCCGAGGACATTGCCAGGGAGGGAGAATTGCCGAAGGTTTTAGCTTCGATCGCTCGCGCTTCGACGGACAAAGTACGAGCCGAGCAAGTTCGTACTATAAAATACGAATATGTACGAGCGATCGCGGCTTCAATTTCGACCTTTCTTTTATTAGCACCTACTGACAAAGTAGTGCTAAAACCCTATAGATTATTTTCCCGAACGGTCCAAAGAAATTGAAACGCGCGCCACACCAAGGGTTCAGCCGAGCGAAGAAGCTTTTGCTCGTTCCTCGTTTTTTCGACCAAACAAAAACGGCATTCAACTTTTTTCGAGGAAAAATCGACACACGTGGACTCGCAATTGCGAGTCAAAAGAAAGAGAAAAGAGAAAAAAAGGAGTAATGCCCCTTACAACTCTATCAACGCACGTATGCAGGCGATGTTGCAGCCTGCTGAGCTCCCTGCACAACTTTCATCGACGGAAATTAAAATACCTCCTTTCAGCGAGTCTGCTACTCGCCCGCACGAGTTTTTCAGGGGGCAATAATTCAGTGCTCCGCAGCACGCTCTCTGTCTCTCGAGTCGAGAGGCCCGCACTACCCAGCGCCGCGCGAATCCCATTGTTTTCGACCAAAAAACCGAGGAAAAAGAGCGAGAAAGGCGGAAAGAACAACAATTTGTTGATTAAGAAAGTGCAAACGTGCAACAACGGCTCGCATCGGAATTTCTCTGGGCTGTATTTATAAGTCGACCGAGGCCATACATAAAGTATGCGGCGAACGTAGGAGCGACGCGACCACGACAATAGGCAATCGGAAAGCTCAGCTTTCACTGTTGCTTCCGATAGCTGCGCACGGCAGGCAAACGAGAGGTGAATTAACAAAAAAAAAAAAAAAAAGCCAGTCGAAAGAGGAAGAATTTTTGGAAGTTAAACGCCAAAATTTTCAGCGTCTGCCGTAGCAGCTTCGGTACGAGTCGTGTACGGCGTAGTTATATATTCGATTTCATCGTCGAATAAATATAATTCTCACTTTGGCTCGCTTGGCAATGCGAAATTGTTCCCACCGATCGCGAAGCTATTTTCTTCGCCCGCAGTGGCTTAATTTTACCGTTAAGCCTTAAATTTGCTCGAGAGCATGAGCGCAGGCTCAAGCACGAATTCCCTTTTAACCCTCGACATATGCGGTAGAGCTCGCGCATTATATAGATGTGCAGCGTACGAATAGTATAAACGCGCAGCAAAATCGATACGTGCATAAATTAACACTTTCACCCGGCACTCAGCAGCTCGCGCTCGCTCGGTAAACAGTCACCTGCGACGACTAATTCTGCTTTATTCCTCTGCACACACGCACACCTCACCTCAGCTACTCCTTTTTCTTCTCTTTTTTCCTTCTTTCTGTTTGTGCCTGGCAAAAAACGGAAGTTCGCGAATTCGAACACACGTGTGAAAAGACTATACAAATAATAAACAGGTCAATGAGCATCTTGGGCTTTGTAGATTTACAACAGACGGCATGTGCGCGTCGGAATTGGCTTTCACGGAGAGGTGCGAACAAATTCTCGGAGGGTGCGAAGGTAGAAAACGAATATTTAGACGGAACGTTGTTTTTTTCTTTTTTTTCTTCTTTCGTTGCTCGACGAGATATCAAGCCTCGAGATCGCACAGGACGACGTTACATTCGCTGCAAAAACGCTGTGTCAAATTAGCGCGGGCGAGCGTGGGTAACTCAATTCCATCGGCGATTTAGGTGTCGAACGTTTTTCGTCCAAGCTTTGCTTGCCTATATAAACGCGATATAAATCGTCATTAATCGATACGCCAAAGGCCGACTCGAGATAGCCGCGCGTATGGTATAGGTATAATTTCGAGTTTGTTTAGCCGCAGCTCGTTCTTTCCATTGCTCGCCGAAATTCGATTCTCGAATCGTCTTCGGATAATAATATGTATGAGTTTTTTTCGTGGATGCTTTGTCCTCGATAAACGATCGTGTTGCGGACCGTCTGCGAAAATCGAGCGAGTCATCTGAATCATTTGGAGCAATAAACGTCACGCTCTGCCGCTCAGCCTCGACTGCGCTGTGACATCTGAAGTGGCTGGCCGGGCTTTTCAAAATACTGTTAGTCATCTTTGACAGGCTCGCGCGCAACTGCAGTCGCTGTAAACTAGCTTCTATTTATTTATACACGATCGATCGTGAGTCGCATCGTGAGTGCATATAGAAAAGAAAGTTGCCTCAGAGGCGCTGCGATCGCGACGAGTATCATATAGCCTGGATGATTTGTTTATTTTAATCACGCCGGTAATTTTTTTTAATCGTAGGTAAATAGTCGAGATTCGTGCGTGTGTATTATTATGTTCTCGAAGCCGCCGTGCGATGACTCTATAAGCGAGCGGTGCTCGGGCTGTATAATTCTTCGAGGCAAATTACGCGCAAGAAATCATGGCGTGAGGCGCGTGTGGCGTCCCTCGAGTGCTACGTAAAAAGAGTAATTTCCACTTACAAGAGGAATTACACAAATAACATATTTATCAAACAATATACGCTCGCTGGCGCGCAGGCAAGTCGGCATAATGAAAAGCAACAGTTAAGCTCGTCGACGATGTATAATATAACTTTGCTTTATATATATACATTATGGATCATGCGCTTGCAACAAATTGCAATTTCTTATAGCAGGGCGAATAATAAAAACGCGAGCATTGAAAAGCCATTGTGAAACGAGCTGCGCTACACGCCCCTTAATAGCGCGAGCAGTCGATTCCGTTGGCCGCGCGCGCGTGCACTCGCGATATTCCAAATGCCATATAGATATAATACTTGCAGGTATACTCTACATTGTAGTTGCAAACGTGCTCGGCTATATATACATTCCCCGGCGCTGCTCCGCTGTTGCAGACTTCAGCACAATAGATCAGACTTCCTTTTATGATGGAAAAGTCTCATTTCACCTTCGCCAGTGGCAGCGCGCGCGGCAGCGATTCCAGGCATTATATACATATAATAGCTTTTCATAGCGGCCCAGAGCGGCTCGAGGTGTGTGTGTGTGTATATATACAGCGAAATATACGCTCTACAATCGGAATAGGACGAGAGAGCTGCCATATAGGTATTTCGAAAAAAAGCAGCGGCTTCCATCGGCGGCCCTGAGCTAATCCGTACGTAACTATATGGGGGCGCGCAGAGAGAAAAATGACAGAGATTAATATTCCATAACATGTATGGAGATGAATGTAAGAGTCGAATGTGAATACGTATGAATATGGCTTCGATATCCTCGTGCGGCCTATGTATTACTATAGGCACGCTAACGATCGCTTATATTATATATATTGACTGCGCCAGAGAAAGGCTTGTGTGTGTTTGTATGTCATATATTCCACGAATCGATCGGCGATGGCAAAAGCGTTAGACGAGCTCGTTGCTGAAATATTTACCGTCTAGTTATTCATATTTGAAGACAACTCGATTGAAACGTCTGCGTCACTTTACTAGTGCCACAGTACAGCTATTTGCGCTTCGTTTCAAATACTTTTAACAATTTCGCTGATTTTCGGGAATCCACGAGAAGCGATGAGAGTTAGGACTGATTGACCTCGAATATGACGAATATGCAATTCCATTGACCGTCGATTCAGATTGTTATGCGTACGTGAGGTGTGGTACACAGCTACGATTCCCTTGAATTCCAGAGTTTTTTTGGAAAATTTGTCGAATTAAATTTGCTGAGCTACGGTTCTTGATTTAATTTGCATTTTAACATTATATATCATGCATACGTTTTTATTGCTTGAGAGTATACTTATTGAATGCAAAGACTTTATAATCCTGAAAAAGTTTTCAAGTATTGCTTTAAAATATGTACTTATATTTTTAAAAGTATGTATGACTCGAATTAAGTCATGAACATTATGCTGTGGTTTTAGTTGATTAGACGTCAATCACGTTTGTCAATTATAGAAACGGATGTACCAATAAACGTCCACACTTAAGTAGACATTAAAGTATAATTAAAATTAATTACTATATTAAATGGTCACGGCAAAAAAATGTACTTCCCAGTAACTGAAACTTTGTGTGTTCCAGGTGAAAAAGTCAAGCATCCTCAAAATTTTGTAGTACGTAAAAAGTGGATAATGAGTTTGGCTCTCGTCAATTTTCTCACTGAAAGTATACGTCAAGCTCTACGTGCCGAAAATGAAAATATAGAAAATTATGACAAGTGTATGTAAGTAAACTAACGTTACAATAGCCACCTATGTCGTAAGATCATTTTTTTTTCGAGTACCTTTTTACGTAGGTACTTTTAGTCAAGAGTATATTATTTCCCACAAGCTGCGTTTGACAGTTATTAAGGAACCGACAAGTTAAGATACACAATTTTTTTTTTCATTTTTTGCCACACCGAAAATAGCTTGAAGGACCTCTTTCTCTCCTGATCTATGTACTCACACACATTGTCTTTCAATCAATTACCCAAGCAACTTTCTCTGGATCCCTGGAAAAGCAGGCCATTGTTTGAACAGGTTCTCTCGAGTGGATGAGGAAAAGGGAAAGCAAATCGGTGGGTTTATATATAGTACTTATAGCATATCGTGCAAGTAGTGACCAATGATGGGGGTGGCCGCGGCCCCGAAGACAGGTAGCTATCACGCGTGCTTTGTCGCTCTTCGAGCTGCTCCGATGATTAGACACGCTTTATGGGTCTTCGGGCCATGAGGCGTGGCTGGTATTATAATACCTTATATATATCCCAACTCTCAAGGATTATTCACGTGCGGCTCAAACTCGGCTTTATCTTAGTTTTGTGATCTCCGTGCACGCTTCGTTTTTTTGATTCTTATTGCAGATTATTCGTGCGGAATGGCAGTTACATTAGCCAAACTGCTGGATTTAATTATTTATTTCTATATGCGAAAACGAGATTAGAACGATTTTTTTCACACATCGAAACATCCACGAGTTTTCTATTGAATTCTCTTTGTGAAAGGATTTGCTATATCGTAATTTATATGTAGCTTTTATGGTATATTTTGATTTCCTTTTAGGGCCGAAGTTGCACGATTCAGTTGAGATACTAAAGCTGCCAATTTCACTCAAGCAAATACGAATTTTTTTTCAACGTTAAGTTTATGTGAAAACGATTTTAAACAGATTAAAACTAAAACTCAAGAGTTTGTTATTAAACTTATTAATAGGTCGAAGTCATTTCGTCTGAATGGCAACTAATAATGCTAAAGATCATTTATACATCTTGTCAAAATTTACGAGCCGTCGAAGCGTACAGGCAAACTCCAAGTGATGAATGTATGTATATGTAAGTAAGACGAATATATAGCCACTTCTTCGGGAAGCAGTTTCGGAGTTGTGTCGCTATTTCAACTTGGAATAGGGTCAGCTAGCTCGTGCATTTTAATTACGCCATCGAGTCTAATGGAGAGAAAAAAACAACTCGAGCTCGAAAAGAAATGAGCCGAATTTTAACGAGCCTCTGGCTTCGGAAGGCCTCTCGTTCCAACATTTTAGCTAATTCGAGCGAGAAATAATTGTAAATTTCTTTATTAGAGCTTTTAAGTCATATGTTTTCAGAATTAATGTTCGCTTCAATCTTGCGTTATTGAAGTAATTTATTCGACAGTTTTTCATCTCATTGGATGTTGTGTAGGATTTGGTATAGTTAGGTAAGGCGAGAAAAAATTATTGCAAGTTTTTTCTATTCACATAGTAATACTAAGTATTTTATTAATTCACCTAGATTGATAGTTATTTACAGATGGCTGATCGGTGCAGCGTAGCAGCGCCGAAGCCACATTTTCTATGTACAAAATATAGATACAGCAAAAAAGAAAGAACATGTTTGGGGCGCGCGACTACAAGATATCCGACGAGAGAGTATCCTTGCGTCGCTTTGCGCACTCATCCTTACCAATAGGAACTCTCGTACAGTCTGTTTTCGTTGCGCAATTGTCGCACACGTTCGATATCATTATTTATTTATTTATTTATTTATATATGTATATCATTATTTAATATAATATATATATACTTTTTTTATTTATATATTTGTATATGTATATGCACGGATACACATATTGTGTGTAAAATATTAATTACAAAAATATCATACAAAAATCAGCAATTCACATATATTATGTTCGATTCGTTAGAAAACTAAGCTCAGCGATCTGTTTTTAATATAAATGTTTGTTTATGCACATCCACGTAATATTTTGTTCATGTACTCGCCTTATTCGTACATACGGGGCGAAAGTTAATTTTATTTAATTTTTTTTCTTGTTCCATAGATACGTAATTTTGATGAGAAATATTTTTACTACACACATCACACGGATCGACAATGTTATACATATATGTTTGCTGCCGCGATTCATTCATATCCTAACAATACATGTGTATGATACAATACAATTTACAAGGAGCCGTCGTGGTCTCCGTCTGTTTTTCTATATATCATGTAGCATTACGTCGAAAATAATTCTAGACAATTTGTACAGGGGGATTCGTTATGTATAGCTACATCGCTCTGAAAAGGAATAGCGACTTTTTGTTATCGATAAGCGGGTCGGTTGCCTTAACGTCGAGATTCGAATTCAGACGAGCTTACACCTCGCGCGCTCCGAGCGGCCTCGGGAGCTTATCGGTCAGTCTTGATAAAAAATCGTCTGGTGCAGTCTCGACAGAAGCGGATGATGACTCGAGGAGGTGGAGGAGGAGTTAGACGCCGTGTCGCATTGGTATCATCAGACGACCTCGAGCGGCTCGATCTCCTTGGCCGTGCGCCGGCAGAGCTTTACTATGATGGCGATGCAGACGATGATGGCAGCGCACATGCTGGCCGCCAGCACGGCCCACGGATACACCATCGCGTCGACGAAGTTTTTTTTTAGCTGAAACACCTGTATCGAGCTCGGCCTCGTGTCCACCTCGATCGGGAAGCTGCCGGGGCCCTCGTTCGAGGCTATTCGCACGAGGTACTTGGTGCCTGGAAGAAGGCTGATCTGCGCAAAGTTCGAGTCAGCCACCTGGTTACCCATGAGGCCACCGGTCTCGGGCTCCCAGGAGACGACGAACGACTCCTTGCCGACTTGGCTCTGGTTGCGCTCGTCCTCCGAGTCCAGGGTGGACGGCTCGGGATTGTCCGTGTCGTCGAGTCTCTTACCCGACTCGTCCTGATCTCGTCTGCGGAAGAAGAATCGCCGGAAAACTTCCTCGGGAATGGCCGTGTCTTCGTCCTGGTTCCTCCACTCGAGCACTTTCTCGCCGTACTTTTCCAGGAAGAACTGGCGAACTCGGTCGTTGAAGCGCTTCTGCTCCAGGAGCGTCTGACGCTTGAGTTGGATGTCGACGTCGCGCCACGAGATCGTGGCTTCGAACAGTGGACCTTCCTTCAGCGAGTCGAGGGTAGGCAGCCACTCCTCCCACGAGAAATGGACCACGCCACCGTCCTCGACGACGGCCACGATCCATTCGTCGTGGCGGAGGCTCGATGGGGCTCGGGTGCCGGGGTAGTATCCAAAGACCCTCCACTCGTTGCGTACCTTGTGCATGAGTACGGCTACGTCGTTTTTAGCCAGGTTGACCGGTGCTCGGTGCGGCGCTGGGAGCATCGATGGCAGGTACTGCTCGACCACTTGACTCTTGCGATACTCGCATGCCGTGCGACAGCTCGGACACTGTTGACAGAAAAGAAAAATTTCTTTGGTTATTTATACAATTTCGCACTTGTCTCGAGTCATTAGGTTACATTCGAAGAGATGCTTATTATTATACACACGCACGGATCTATGAGTACACACACACACACACACACACACACACACACACACACACATACTACGTGTAATGGTTTTTAAAAGGCAAACTAAACAGTGTGACTGTGCGCTTTTACGAATCACAGCTGTTGTCCGATGATTTGTTACTTTTGTATATGTGTGAACCTGTTTGTGCGACTCCGTGGATGCTCTCGCTGACTTTGGGATCAGGCGTCTCGCGAAGGTGCAGGCATATAGCGTTGCGGTGAAAAAATTCAGAGCACCTCTCAAGATTCCAGGCAAAGAGAAGATAGAGAAAGAGAAAAAGAGGATAAGGCTTAATATTGCGGCAAATGGGCCACTCGATTTCGGCTGTTTACTTTATTCGTGACGGCAGTGGCGACGATGTCGGTGCAGCAGCGGCAACGCGGCAACGGCGGTGCAGTGCACGCGCCTCCTGTGCAGCTCAAAAAGGAGAGGGTGAATAATTAGCCCCGCCGAAGAAGCTCTTATCACTGGTGCAGGCCAAGCACGCGATATACATATACCGCAAAATGCAATTAAATGGCCGGTCGAAAAGAGCCAGAATGAGAGAGAAAGAGAGAGAAGTTTTCGCGTGACGCGAAAGTGACGCGCGAGCGAGCCGCGAGAAATCGACCGAAAAGATACTTATCTGAGGCTTCCGTGTAGGTAGGAGAGCCGAGCGAGCCACGAAGGTAGCTATATGTGCGCGGATAATATATACGCGCTTAAGTGCCGCGAGGGGTTCCTTCGTTCCTTCTCTCTGCTTTTCTCAATTTTTTTTCCCTTTTTTTTTTTTTTTTTACACAAAAAGCCGCTTGCTTGTACACAAACACACTCACACAGACACGCAGGTATACGAGCCAGCTATATTTTCGACACGGAGTATTGTACAAGTGATGCTGCCACTACTGCACAAGCTTTGTTGCTGCAACGCTATTATATAGAGCGCGAGAGAAGAAAGAATCATGATTCTGGTTTGCGATATATAAAATATGGAACAAAAAAATCAAAGAGAGAGAGAGAGAAGGATTTTTCGGGGGCAACATTGAATGCGAACAGGCGCACGCAAGAGAGAGCCTGGATTAAGTAATGTCCGTTGCTGTTTTGCTTTTTTTTTCTTTCGTCCTTTACGTGAGCGTATATACTGCGTGCGTGTTACGTCGTACCGCGAGTAATGTGTCTACATTATGTGGCCGATGCTGCTTGTTGCTAGAAAGTCTACATGATGTATCACGGCCGGTGTGATTTAGATTTTTGACTTTTTGAAACAAAGATTAATTTGCCGGATACGCGCTGCAATAATGTGATCAAAGTCTTTTTTATACTTCCACGGGGCGATCGTACATTAATCTTAGCGACGATCCGAGTACCGCGAAGTCGAAAAACAAGGCGCGGAACGAGCACTCGATTATAAATAGCGACGTCTCTGGGCTTTGGCGAAGAATAGTTATCAAAATTTCATCTAGCCCAAAGACAAAGTTATAAGATGAGTCAATCGCAAAGCGTCAGAGGAAGTGATCGGTCCTGAGACGATACTAATCAGAAAGTTGATTCGAGCGCGTCGATCTGCCTTATTTTTCCATGTTTTTTTCTTTGATCGAGCGGGCTTCAGACAAATTGGAAGTTGTTCCTATCGAAGCTCGAATGCGTACAGCTACATCGTGTATGTATGGAGCATTATGCGGAAAAATAGCCACGTACGATGGTAGTGTCGGCGATACGACCGCTCGATAAACACATAAATTATAATATATGTGCCTCGTTTGGAGCCGAGCGAATATATATAGGGTATACGATATGTGAGACAAGATGCTCCGATCGCATGTATCGCTAGCGTACTTGCACACACACACACACACACACATACAATAGAAGCAAGGCCTGTGTACTGGTCCCAGTAATTACCCCCCGACAAAGACGACCGGGACAACAACGAGATAGAGAGAGAGAGAGAGAGAGAGAGAAGCTCGCGAGCATAAGGTCCCATAGCGATAAATTTTTCAGCGTCAAGCAGTAGCATTGTGCACTCACGCATACGTTACCACCACGTGCTGCTGCTGATGCTACTCTGTAAGCGTACGTGTATGTGTGTGCATTCAAGGTAAGCACACGCGGAGAAAAGATCAATATCGTGAACTGCTGATGCAGACAAACGCAGAGCAAGAGAGAGAGAGAGAGAAAGAGAGCGACGCAAGAAGAGAAGAAAAAAATCGGCCGTTAAAGAAGGCAGAAGAAGAAGAAGAAAAAGAAGTAGATTCGGCGAGGATCGTCTAGGGATCAATATATAGAGTAGAAGCGAATTTGTGTACACAAAAGAGGGCGCGTACAATGTGCGTGAATACGTGGGAGTCCGAAATATTCTCTCGCTTCGAGTCGCGACACAAAGTATTATGTGCGCGCAGTTTTTCATTGTCAACGGCACATCGGAAGAAAGTGGAAAAAAGTAGAAGCTATCGCGACGAGGCTCAAAAAAAGTGTGGGATTTTCGTTCTCGTAATGCGGGAATTACACGCCGGGCCTTACAGCGCGTCGCATAATCGATTGACATGGCGTATATATTTTTTGATCGCATTATAAAGTCTACGCAGAGCTCGGCGCGGCCTGAGCGCCTTATCGAACGTCTCCGAGGCAGCTCTCGCGGCGATTGCGCACTAGTGAGCTCGCAGCACATCTCGAACTCGTGCACTTGCGAATAATATCGCAGGAACTTGTCGCGATTCGCTCGATCGGCTGTATGTTTTTCTTCGTACGGCTCGTCAAAAAAAGCGTGTGCGCCGAATAAAATACTCGTGAGTCGAACACATGATCGAGCAATAGTCTGCGGAGCATACATCATGATTTCCAATATGTATTTATGTTATGGGTATGTGCGGCTTTTGAAGAGTTATAAGCTTGCACGGCCCGAGCAGTGTTTCGCAGCTCCTCGAGAACTGTCTATCTTTAGTCGAGTTTGCAGTAAAAACAACTTATGAAATGCGCCCAAAGTCTATACCGACAAGAACTCGAGACTGTATACGAGCTACATTCATACATGCACATTGCACGTATATGTACACAGGAGTACGAGAGAGAGCAAATCGCACAACGGCCCCGCGTGCGAGATCGCTCGAGAATTGCAGAGCTTCGATTGGCGTTTCGAAAACAACGTCGAATTGCACTGCTACGGACAGCTCCGGCGTCTAGCGCGCTCCAGACTCGCGAATATTTATCGATCGCTCGAATCGCTCTCGTGCTCTATGCACATACACGCTGCCGTGGCTGCAACGGCTCTCGCGGCGCTCCATAGGCCGCGAAAAATGGGAAAAATCGATTAATCGCGCGAGAGAGAGCCGCAACTTTTCTATTATGTAGCATTCGCGCGTGCTTTTACCTCACTTGTACTTTTATAAAAGCCTACGTTGTTTATGCCCACTTTTCTCTCTGCGCTATGATGAATAATACAGCGAAAGTCTCGAGTAACCCGAGAAGTCGTTGCGTATAAATACGTATAAACGTCGGTTCGCGGCGATCGAATTGCTGCACGCACGAGTTCATTCCCTTTGCGCTTAGTGCGCCATCGCGAATTAGGACTATTTCACTCTCGGATATCGCGTATAGATCGCGATCACTGCAGCAGCTCGGAAAGAGACGATCGCGCAGTGCTGCGCTGAAAATTCCATTTGGAAATCGCTTCGACCCCGATTAATTCGGACTCGCTCTCGCTTGATGCAATTGCGATATAAATCTTATTTTGCTCCGCTTCGCAAATCGACCACTATACATGTATGCGTCGGTACGAGCCCCCCGTAATACACTCGGCTGGGCTTGCGCGACGCCAAGTCACGTGTACGTGTGCAGTCGGTAAATCATGCGTAAAAATAAGTCACATATTATTAATAAAAGCCGCAGTTGCATGTCAATCGATGGGCTCTGCTCGTGCGTATTATATATATTATGCAGTAGATGCAGTCAAGGGCCCTGTTCATATAATATATAGAGATATGTAATATGCGTTGTGCGCGTTGCACGCTTATCCGCATCGGAGCGTTAACGCGCAGCAGGTGCTATGCTGTGGGTGTATAGCGCGTTGCATAGCGTGTGCGACGTTAAAATCTCGCCTCTGGCATTTTAACACGTACGCGCCTAAGTGCCCTCGACTCTATCGTGTCGGCGACCTATTATCGACAGCAGTTTGGCCCGTAAAACTAATTCGGTCGAACGAAACGGGGCGAATGGATTTGTGCCGAGCGCGCGTATTTATTAAGCGTACGTGTATATAACAAGGAATGTACACCGGAGCGCGAATACCTACAAAAACGCACATGGAGACGTCTTGTACAATGTGTATTCGTTGCAAGATGAGAAAAGTTCGTTTCCGCGAAGGAAATATAAAAGAAAGCTCGACTCTCGCGTAAGTGTACGCGTAGGAGCTCGGTGTACAAGATCCAATTGCCTCCCTTTTGTCGGAGCAGCGTAAGCGGAATACGTGCACTGCGCTGCCTGCCTGCCTGCCGAAAGAATAAGAACCTTTTTGGCTGCGGCTCTTTTCTCTCTCTCTTTCTTTCGGCAAAACTGCGCAGCGAAGCGAGGATCGCGGCTATGCACACCCGCACTTTAGCTACATACACGCGACATGCACTACGGATGAGTTTGTGTACGTGCTGCAGCTTTCGCACTTACGGAGCACTCGCTCCCGCGAAGAAAATGAGAAACAACAATAATAATACACGAGCGAAGAAATGGTTGCGCATTTTTACCTGCTTGTACTCGTCGTCGTCGCAGCTAGCTCGCTGCTGCTGCTGATTTTGTAGAGAGCCGTTGCTCGAAGACGCGCTAGCCGAGGCCGGGGCTGCTGCCTTCGGACTGCCCCATTGCTTCTCCAGAGTCTCGCATTGCTGCCAACACTGAAACAAGAAAAAGAAACACACATCGACTCTTTAGTATGCATATAACATCCAAGCGCGATTATGATTGTATTTTCTTATAATATAATATGCGCGCGTATGAGTTGTATGTATTTATGTTTTGAACACAATGCCGCATTGAATGCTCCGAGCGGCTACTGTACGCTCGCTTTTGAGCCCAGCACCATGCAGCACGTCAGATGCATGCGCGTGTATATGTGTGCAGTAGGGCAGCTCGCAACATTCGACGCGGGAGTAAGAAGGCGAGGATACATGCACGCGCATGCATAAAAGCTTTGAATCAAAAGAAAGGAAGAGCAAGTATATATGCTGCATATGCCCGCGAGAGGATTTATGTAAGGTGCGTAACTTGCGCGTACATATCCACACACACACACACACACACTTGAGAGAGCGAGAAAGAGAAAGACGAAAGCCGAGAGCACGTATTTTACCCAGAGATCGGGTATACGTATGCATGTACCTGCGCGTATATATATGGGTATACATCGTTAATCAGATTACGCGCGCGAGCGCATTCGAGATTGCGTAAGGGTTGATCGACGCTCGGCCTCGGATACGTGTATTATACACCGTACCGATAATTTGTTTCGCTCTTTGTTTTCCGCGCGATGAGTACATTCACGGATAAACTCTCCGTGTCGGTACGGATCGACGGGGGAAAAAAGCATTACGCCAATCGCAAAATTTGCTATAATAATTATTTTTCATAAATCCAATTGTCTGGTGCGCATCAACGCAATGAACTGAATGCGCTCTCGCAAAAAGTTGCATCGAGCCTATGTTATGGTATAAGACTTGTGTATAAACCTGCAAAGACGAACTCTGCGAGCGAGCATGTTGAAATTTCCAGTTCAAGAGAGAGAGAGAGAGAGAGAGAGAGAGAGAAAGTGAGTCTCGGCGTGCGTCGAAGCAACAAAAAAGAAAAGGAATAAAAAAAAGGTAAGCGCGCGAGTGCAAAAAAACCGCATACACGTAAGCGTATACGCTACATTTGAGCGAGTCCAGCGTGCGTCTGTGTATGAGTGCGTTGTAGCGAGCGACTCCAGGCGAATAAGCTAGTGAGCGCAGAATGTAAACGGCCGAGCGACCGAAGGAACATTGAATGCTCCACGCGCGCTCAAAAGAGAACCGAGGAGAAACAGGTTGGAGGCTAATTCGAATCCTTCTCCCCATAGTGCCCGAGTACTGCATATAGCCTATATGTACTGCGCGCCTCGACCGTCTCTTTCGAGTCATCGTCGTCGCTGCCGCCGCTGATGCTGCTGCTGCTGCTGCTGCTGTTGTTTTCATATATATTTATTGGCCTGGCACGCATTACCAGTCAGCGGTCTATCCCGGTATATTTCATGATTTCCTCGTGTCGTCCTTTTTAATTTCCTTTTTTTCTTTCCCCCCGCAACGAGTGTCCGCCTCGCATAGAAAATCCGTCCGTTGTATACAATATATAGCCACAGGGCCAGCAGCAGAAGTAGCCAGCACAACATTGATGTTAATGACGCAGTACAGTGGATATCAAAAGGCGACGGCTGTTTAATAAATTCATAAATTACCGAAGCGCATACTTTTGCTGCTGCTGCTGCGCACACCCAGAGATGCTCTTTTTAACATACTTGATTTACCGCAATTATAATCCTTGTGTGCAGCAACAGCAGCAGCATCTCAGGGACGGTTTGTCTTTCTTTTATTTTTCTCTCTCTCTCTCTCTCTCCCTGACTCGGCGCTCACTCGGCCGACCAAGGTCTTTTCTGTTCGCTGCGCTCTGCAGTACTGCCCTTTTTGTCGCTTACTTTTTACTCCGTGCTCGCTTACATCTTACGGCCGCGTATATACCTACACGCCGTATAAAACTCCGACTCGAGCAACGAGTGTTTGAGCGCAGCTTTTTCTTTCGATTCGCGAGCTCTCGCTGCTCCGACTCGGGGGAATTATTTCGCCAACACTGACTCGTCGTCGTCGTCGTCGCCGCCGCCGCCAATGTGCGTCGTCGTTGTAAGATTTTACGCGCGACAGGAAAAATTTAGCGCGTGATTATTCCGAAGATGCGATGCGATGCAAGTTTTTACGATCGCCTTCGGTATATATTACGCGGCTCGACGAAAGTCGAGATGCTGCGGGATACATGCGCCTTTCCACGCTCGACGATCATCAAAGCTCGCGTATATAGTGAAAAGGTCGTCGGCCTAATTGTTTATCGACTTCGCGCTTGCCTCCGCGCACGTATGCTACACACACTCGTACGTGTGACGAGGAATTTCAAACTATGTGTACGTGTGCCTTACTTCGCGTGCTCGAACCGTCGTATAACGTTACGATCGCAGCGCGTTTGTAATTTGATTCTCTGCGTTGCTGCGAACCCAACTACTACTAATACAACTACGAGCGGGGCTTTGCATTAAAAGACGGAATAATTATCCTGCGTACGTTTACATACATGTCTGCAGTCCGAAAATTTATGTTACGATCGCAGCGGCGCGCGCGACGAGCTTGACTCTCGCGATAATCGATCGATCTCGCGCCAGCCTGATTTTTAAGGCGTCTTGAAAAAACCGAGGATGAGTCTTTTATTTTTCAACTTTTAATTTTTAAAGCCATTCCGGAAACTTTGCGAGCAAAAGCGAGCTCGTAAAGTTTATTTTTTTGAAAATTTACGCGCGCACGCTCGATTGTCGGCTGTATACGGGTAATCCTCGTAAAGCTACGCCAGCTTCGAATAAATGAAAAAAGGAAAAAAAAGGAAGGTGGAAAAAAGCAAAAATGGAACACTCGGCAGACGATGTCGACGAGTTTGGACCATTAACGAACTGCTTCTACTGCTGCTGTACATTTATTTTTCCAAAGTGTGACGCTCGCGCGAAAAAAAGTTGGGAATGAAAAGAGCACGAGCGGCGTAAGTCGAATTTATCGCGCGTATGAAAAGCACATCGCAAGAGCACGTATACGTCTAATCATCGTTAATATTTTTCGCAACTAAATCGCAAACTCAGATTCGGCTCCAGGTCGGTCCCTGTAATATTTCACTCGAAGCTAGGTGGTTATTATCGATCGAAAAAAGCAGGAACGCACGCGGAATACTCTACTAATACACGCGTTGTTTAATGAGAAAATTTGGAGCCAGATGTATCGGTAATTAATGTTGCGCTCTTTAATACGGGCGTAGGCTGCGCGTCGTTCGAACCGGTATTCACGGCCTCCGACGCGCACGTTTACACGCCTTGCAGCCCATACAGAAGAGCTGCCTTGGTATAATTTGCGAGAAAGATAAATGAAAAGGAAAAAGAAGACTCGTCAAAATCATCGTTTGACTTTGCTTTTTCTTTCTTCTAAGTATACGTAGCAGCTTGCGCAGCGCACACACATATAATACATACATATTACAGCTACCCTACAAGCAGAAATAAGCAGAATTATAAAAGGAGAGCCGAGCCGGAGAAAAAAATGTCTTTGAGCGAGGGTGTGAGTCGAGTCTGCGCGAGGAAAGATTTACGAGGCGCGATATCGGGAGACGACGACGAGGACGACGACTCGATAGTCATCGGATTAACGACGTGTGCAGTGCCCGAATAATTACATGCCATATATACTTAGGGGAGGTAGTTTTGGATACAGAGGGAGAAATGGGAGAGAGAGAGAGAGAGAGAGAGAGAGAGAGAGAGAGAGAGAAAAGAGAGAGCTGCTGTTGCCGCAGTGGCGTACGCTCGTTATGCACTGGGTGGCAAAAGTTTCGAAAAAAGGGCGACAAATTTCACGCCCTCGAAGCCGAGAGAGAGAGAGAGAGAGAGAGAGTTGCACTCGCTGCCGAGCTCGAGTTAATCGACCGCACGCACGCGATTTCTTTTTTTGTCCCCGGCTGGCTTGCTCCGTCGCGCAGCTATGTAGCAGCTCGGGCGCAGTTCTGCAGCTAAAGTCGTCGTCTAATTATATGTATATATCGTGGCTCTGTCTGCGCTTAGCAACTCGGGCAATGAGCATTGTCTCTTGTTAATTATGTAGCCGCGCGCAGACTCGCATCGAGTCGGGCAAAAGCCTATTGTCGCGTACATAGAAGGCGGTCGAGTCCGTTTTTTTCTCCGCTCGCCATTCATCATCGTCAACATCCTCCGATCTGGCAAAACGCTCACTCTCGCTCTCCAAGTGTATTATTCTACGCATCCCACGCATGAATAATGCGCCCGTTTCTCATACATGGCCGCGCACACGAATATATCCAAGTTTTGCGCGCGGGCACGATGCAAAACACCGTGTGTCTCGTGCGCATTAGACATAGCTCGGTGACGGGGTCGTAAAAGCAATATTTCGTGCACGATCGTGTCCTATAACTACTCGTAGCGCGCCATATTGTGTGTGTATCTGTACGACACGGCGATGTTTAGACGGTATTTCTTCGATCTACTTTGAAAATCGACATAGAAACTATTGCGGTTGCAATTGATATTGGCCGATACATAAAACGTGTGTGCGCGCATATTGCAATAGCACGAAGGAGTACATATATGCATAAAAGGCCAGATAAAGCGATTAACTTTCACTTTGCTAATTGGCTTCTCTCTCATTCTTTCTACGATTCGATATATAGATGAAAGTCGCAGACAAAATTCGTATCCGAAAGTGTAATCCAAGTGCGAGCAGATATAAGTATATGAGGTACGGCAAAAGTTTGAGATCTTCATAGTGGAGCGGGCTCGAACGAGTGCTACGATATATACTCGCGTCTCTTGTATATATTGGCACGGGTATCGGGAGCCTGTATTTGCAGATAGTGCATAAATTTGCAGACACGAGCTCTCTCTCTCTCTCTCGATCGCTCCTCATCCCTGGCATCAATTTCCCCGCATCGGGATTATTGCAGAATGAGCTCCCTGCGAGGCCAACGCACAGAGCACGGCACGACGGCAAATGAGCAACGCCCCATCTGTCCATTTACTACGACTCGTAGCGCGTGCAGCAGTGTATACGCGTATTGGTAAGTTGTGCGAGCA